CAGAACAGACGCCCCCAGGTCAGGCTTTGGCCACGGACGCCGGGTTCACCCCCGACCTTGACGTGCCCGGGCCCTTCAGCGATCAGCAGCCCCCCCCCTTCTAAATGAAAAACACCTTTGTATCTATTTAACACCATTATAAATGCTGGAGGCAAAGCGGGGTTTGGGTTGGAGGTTGACAGCTCGTGACCCCCCCATGTAATAACCTCGTGACCCCCTGAGGGGTCCTGACCCCCTGTTTGAGAGCCCTGCTTTAAGCACAGAAGGAAGAGACTAATGAGGGTCTGTGCTGGTTGGATTTGGCCAGGTGTGTTTGTTTTTTGACAGGTAAAGAGAAAACCCCTATTTAAAATCAATCCTGCCCTGCCCACTTGAGATTACTGGCCAGGAAAGCATTTGCAGTTTCACCATTGATACTGTGCAAGTTTCTGTGTCTTACTTGCAGGGCCGCCCAGAGGGGGGACAAGTGGGGCAATTTGCCCTGGACTCCACAGGGGCCCCCACGAGAATATAGTATTTTATGGTATTGCGACATTTTTTTTATGGAAGGGGCCCCCAAAATTGCTTTGCCCCAGGCCCCCTGAATTCTCTGGGCGGCCCTGCTTACGTGCTTGGGGACAGTAGGGCCATGTCTACACTTGTGGGCACTACAGCGTCAGTAGCTATGGTGCTGTAACCCTGTAGTGTAGATTCAGGCTGTAGCAACGGAACGGGGTTTTCCATCACTATAGGAACTCCGTCTCCCTGAGTGACTGTAGCTAGGTCGATAGAAACGCTCTTCTGCCAACCTAGCTCTGTCGACACCAGGGGTTAGCATAGTTACAGCTCTCAGCAGGGTGGATTTTTCACACCCCGGAACACCTAGCTTTGTTGACCTAAGTTTTAAGTATAGACCAGGCCTGAAACTAGTCATTGGGCTAATCAGCTTCTAAAGTCGTAACCCTCATGCCCTTCGCGCAATGCTCTTGACTGGGGTTTGCAACACAGTAGGTGTTTCTGTTGACTAGGCCTTGTCTATAGGAGACGGTTGCACCAGTTTTTCAAATGAGCACCTCTATGCTTTCTCCTATGCAGCCCCTCGCAAAAACCGTGACAATGGTTCGGCAACCGCTGACCGGTATTGGCTCGTTGCTTCCTTGTGCTATATCTGCCTGCTCTCACCAGTTTTATACTTCGATTGGAAGCTCTTTGGGGCAGGGAGCAGCTTTGAATTCGGTATTTGTGCAGCCTGTAGCAACCTGGGGTCCTGGGCCATAAGTGAAGCTCCTAGGTGGGACAGTTACGCCAATAATACATTGAACCAAATTCATTTTTTAAACCAGTCTAGTTAAACTGGAGCAAACGCCCAGGAAGATGCTGATTTTGGTTTTTCAAGTGGCTGATTTTGGGTTCACCGGAACCTATTCCCTGTCTTAAACTAAGCTGGAAAGTGCCCCCTTTCCGGGAAAACGCAGGCCGGAAAACAGCCCTGAGTTAATTCCTGCCAGTCTTTTATGAAAACATCCACTCAAGTTACCCACTCAACAGCCGCTTGTCATTCAAATCCCCTCCCTGTGCCCCAGAAAACCTCCCTTGCTTTAATTATAGAAACATTTCTGTTCATAGTCGAGTACTGGGGACAGAGCACAGGATGGACTTAGGAGACCTGGGTTCTATGGGGCATGCCCTAGCGGAGGGGTAAACGGGGGGTGTTAAAGATGAGTAGGCAGCATTCTTTTCCCCCAGATTTGGTTCCCAGCCACTGACTGATCCATGGGGAATTTCCATATGTTCTTTCCCTGACCTTCTGCCAGGGGTTGATTCTTTAGGCCGGTGCCCTCATTGTAGGTGGATGTTTGCCAGGGAAAACGCAGAAGAGATTGGTTCAGATGGGATTTCTTGGCAAGCGTCAAGGAAGTGGGGTCTGGTCAGGAAAGCAGCCTGCACATCACAAAACCGTCACGTGGATCATCATTCCTGGACCCTGGCTAGGAGTGGTACCGATAGCAGTGCCTAGCTACTAGAGCGCCTGGTGTCTTGGGAGTACGGGCAATATCTCGATGAGCCTGCAAGAGCAGGGGGGCTGAGGGGCATCAGCAGACCTTCAAGTGCAGGGAGCCTAGGGCTGGAATAGGAGGGGATGGCTGAGGGGCGTTGGCAGAGCTGGCGGGGGACCTTAGAGCCGGAAGAGGAATGTGGGTTGGGATTGAGGGGCACCACCAGAGCTGTGTGCATGGAGGAAACGCGGGGCTGGAATAATGGGGAAATACAGGTCAGGATTGAGGGGTGTTGGCAGGGGAGCCCAGGAGCAGGGGGTCTATGGGTTAGGACTGTTTGTGGGTGGCACTAGCAGAGCTCCGTGTGTGTGAGCCCAGAGCTCGGGGAGCAAAGGGGCTGCAGTTCGGGAATGAGGGGCATCGGCAGAGCTTAGCAACCGTCCTGCACAGTCTTCCCCTCCGTTTCCCCAACGTGAAAACATGTCCTCGTTTGCAAGGTGTGGACTCTGGTTTGGTGAGAGAAAAACAATTGGACTTTTTAAAATATAATTTATTGAAAATAGTCCCAAGAAAATCACTTAGAAGAGTCTGTTCCCTTCGAAGCAGCTTCAGGGAGCAACAGATCACAGGTGCAGTGCTGCAGAGGGTAAACAAGAAGTTTCTCCGGGACTTAAAAGTCTTTGGCAGACACATGGGGATCACACGCACGCCCCTTGTTAGCTGTAGACTGGGAGGAAGCACCCAGGACCGGTCCGTATGTGAGGGTTAAAAACAATCATCTCAGAAAACACAAACACCAGCACGAGGTCAGATTTGGGCAGTACTGGGTCCTCGTCTGGCACAACACAGTTTACTGGTCAGCAACAGAAAAAAAAATTCAGCTTCCCAGCCACAGAGCTGAGAAGAGAAGGGGAAGGAAGGTCATTGCGCCTCCAGGTGGCGGGATGAAGGAATAGCTCTCCTGAGAGCATTGCCTGTTAGGTAATGGGATTGCAGGAGCTGTACAGAGGGGATCCCCAAGGAATTTACAGCCTCCGCAGGCAAAGGGGGGAGCATGAAAGGACCGTTAGCCCTGTTTTACAGGAGGGGAGCTGGTGCCTAAAGAGAGGAAGACAAGGGCACACAGGACTCTGGCACAGCCAGGAGTCAAACCCGGATCTCAGGGGGCTCAAAGGGGGCTGGAGTGATCTAGTGAGGAGGGAAGAGGGGATCAAGCAATAAATGGGGGAGGGAGGGGCTTCTCCAGCCAGCTAGTGGGTACAGGGGAGGAGGCGTTTGCAAAGCCTAGGGGGCATATTGGGGGCTACAGAGGGCAAGGGGAGGATTTCCCCAGCGATCAGATGCAGAAGCCTTAAAAATCAGACGGCTTCAATGCCCCTAGCAGCGTTCCCCTCTGCGCCAAACGAAAGAGGAGGGAGCTCTGAACCCCCACTTCCTGCGCCCTCCTAGATCAGTGGGCAGGGAGGGGGTCTCAGAGGCGGCTCCTCCGGGGGAGGGAGGTCTTGTAGAGGGACTTGCCGCTGGCCTCAATGTAGGTGACACTCATCTCCTTGCCGTCGATCTCCACGTAGGCGAAGCCGCCCAGGGACGCCGGCTCAGCGTAGAAGAAGCGCAGGTAGCCCTCGGGCACCTTATGATAGTGCTTCCGCGAGTTCTCCATGAAGTTGCCAGCCCCGCTCAGCACGTAGCCCACGCCAGCCTTGTCCTGCAGGTACTGATCGGGGAAGATAGGGGTGGGGGTCACAGCAGATCCATGTTCCTGCTGCCTGGGTACTCCCCTGTTCCCATCCCGCAGCCAGTCTGCTCGTGCCAGGGGGGTCTGGGAGTCAGGACTCCTGGGTTCTATCCCAGCTCTGGGAGGGGAGTGGGGTCTAGGGGTTAGAGCAGGGAGGAGTCAGGACTCCTGGGTTCTATCCCAGCTTTGCTGTTGACTCACACCCAGGGTGGCTGGGGCGGGGTGCAATGGGCTAGCAGGGAGTTGATGGACAGCTCCCCAGCAGGGGTGCTCAGAGCCCTGTGGGATGGACCAGAGGGGACGACCTTGCCCCAGTGGCCCCCCTCCCGCCCCGCTTACCTGCAGGTTGTGATCATGGCCGCAGAGGTAGGCAGTGGCCTTGTACTTGAGCAGCAGCGGCTGCAGGTGCTTCACCAGGCAATGGGTGGGGCCGTGCTCGGCCACCGACCACACCGGGTAGTGGCCGGCCACCAGCAGGTAGTCGTCCTGGGAGGCAGCCATCTGCTTGCGGAGCCAGGCCAGCTGGCTGCGGGCCAGCCCCACGTCCCGGGGCTGCTGGGGCTGCTGGCTCTGGAAGTCGTCCGAGTTCCCGCACAGGGTGACGGTGTCGATCATGAGGAGGGCCACCGTGGCGTTGCTCTTGGGAACCTTGAACTTCAGGCTGTAGTAGTAGTTGGGGAAGTTCCTGCAGAACGGAGGGGGGAGGGGTGTCAAATGTTAAACCAGAGCTGGTCTCCACGCACCCACCCCGCAGTCTCCTGGATCAGCATGGGGGCTGCAGGTCTGGAGTGAGGGGCACCAGCAGAGCTGGGGGGAGCCCGGGGCTGGGCTAGCAGTAGATTGTAGGTTGGGAGTGAGGGGCACCGGTAGAGCTGGTGGGGAGCTCAGGGCTGGGCTAGCAGGGGCTGCAGGTCGGGAGTGAGGGGCACTGGCAGAGCTGTTGGGGGGAGCCCAGGGCTGGGCTAGCAGGGGGCTTCTGGTTTAGAAGGGGATCCAGCCCCCACCCCTCTGAGCCCCGATATAGCAGGATGCAGGAGGGTTGGGCAGGCGCGGGGGGCCCTTACCAGCGCTTGGAGACCTTGCTGTAGGCGATCTGAGCCGAGACATTCCCCGAGTGATCGTGGTTCCCGGCCACCACGTACCACGGCACCTTGCGCAGCGACTGCGCCTTGAACACAGCCTCAAAGGTGTCCTGCCCCGAGAGAGGGGTTGGCAGAGAACGTGTTCACATCTGGCGGCGCCTGCCAAGCCTTCCCCGCCCCCGCGCACTCATGGCTGTTATTTGGAACCCAGTCGTTCCCCGGTGAGGGGGAGAACCATGAACAGATTTACCCCTCACGTGCCATAACCCCCAACACACCCAGGCCCACCACTGCAGCCACGGGGCTGACGCTAGCTGGTTTCCTGTGTTGGTTGACGTGTGCATCCTGCCAGGGCCACACAGGGGCGCCGCCTCCAGTAAAGGGGCTGCGGCAGTGTAGTGACACCCCAAGATTTTTTGGGTGCGGCGGGTAGAGGGCTGTCTCTACCCAAGGCTCATCCTGCAGTTTCCAGTCTCCCTGGCCTAAACCCCATAGCCCACCCCAGAGGCAGGTACCTCTCAGCACCAGGCAAGGGATCCCTGTATAAACAGCTCCCGCTGCGCTCCACCCCAGAGGTGGCCGCATCTCAGCTCAGGATGAGGGATCCCTGTAAAAACAAGTGCGGGATCCCAGTCCCTCTGTGCTGTGGGGGGACCCCAAGGACTCCCTACCTGGAACCTCTTGTCGTTGACGTCCCGCACCCCGTTGTAGTAGAAGTTATCGCCGAGGGACAGGATGAAGTCTGCGCCCAGCGCTGCCACCATGCGGCCCATCTCCTTGGCTGTGGCCACCTCGCGCGCCGTGTGGAAGGGGGGATTGGACACCCCGCCCCAGTCCCCCAGGGCGATGAAGCGCAGGGAGGAGCCGGAGGAGAGCGGGCTGGCGTAGGGGGTCGGCAGAGCCGCCAGGAGGAGCGCGGAGAGACACAGGTAACCCGCCATCTGTGGGGAAAGGGGGGAGATGCAGCCACAAGCAAGAGGAGGCGCTCTGCTCTGGGCCAAAGCCTTGAACCCAATCTCAGCAAGGGAGGCAGGGGTCAGGGCAAGGGATGAGCCAGGACTCCTGGGTTCTATCCCAGCTCTGGGAGGGGAGTGGGGTCTAGTGGGTTGGAGCAGGGGGGGGCTGGGAGCCAGGTCTCCTGGGTTCTATTCCACTGACTCACTGTGCGACCTTGTGCAAGTCCCTTCCCCTCTGTGTGCCTCAGTTTCCCCTCCCACCCAGTCTCCAGGCTCTCTGGGGCAGGGTCTGTCTCTCAGATGAGAGAGCTGGCGCTCTCAAACCTGAGGCGGTCCGGGTTTGAAGCAGGATTAATGAACCCAGGGTAGGGGCCCCTTTTCCAGCTGAAGCCAGGTTTATTTCGGTTTAACTCAGACCTGTTCCCGTTCGACTTCCATCAGAATCCGAGCGTCCACGCTGGGGCTGGGCCAGTGTAACTAAACCAGTTCAAATCACCTGCGCTCAGCTCAAGCAGTGCAGCTCTGCGGGAAACTTTCTGTCCCCCCCTCTCTGCAGGCACCGCCCTGCTGCAGATAATCAATTAAGACCAGACACAAGGGAAGGAGGGTGGGAACGGCTGGTTTGAGCGGCCCAGCCCTCCTTCAGCCCTGCCCCAAGCCCATTGTCCAAGCCTCTGGGAGACAGAGGGTTAAGGGGCGGAGGTGCTCAGTTGTCCTGGGGAAGGTAGATCTTTGCTGGAGTGTCTCCACCCAAACTGCAGAGATCCAGCCATCTCAGGGCACCGGCTCCAGCCCCGGGGCGGGGACGGGACGGAGTCAGGGTGAGTCGGATTCAGCAGCAAGGTCAGATAGGAAGCTGCGTTTTGCCCAGGGCGCCTGGCAGCTCCTGGAGCCGGTGCCCCAAAACTATCGACAGACACTTGTGAAAATAGCCACCCCCAGCACACACCCCCCCCATATGGTTTACATTAAACATAGTTTGCGTTTCAGACCCTGACCAAGACCAGGGGCCCTGTCGGGCCAGGCGCTGCCCAGACCTCAAATAGGATCAGGGCCCCCATTGTGCCAGGCGCTGCTCAAACCCCAACCAGGATCAGGGCCCCCATTGTGCCAGGCGCTGTACAGACCCCGACCAGGATCAGGGCCCCCATTGTGCCAGGCGCTGTACAGACCCCGACCAGGATCAGGGCCCCCATTGTGCCAGGCGCTGTACAGACCCCAAC